ATATATATATATAGGAAGAACTAATGTTTGTTGGGTAATGTAATTTGACACTAGTTCACAGTGAGTTATGTCCGAGTCAAATTTAAAAATGAAAGTTTTGTTTATTTTTTAATAGTAAAATAAGATTAAACTCATGAACATATTATTTTAGGTGGGAACAAGTTTATAAAAACTTCTTTTTTGACCTCCTTGCCGACACATGGCATAGCGGATCTCAGCGGGAGACCCACACGACAGGCTATCAGTGGTGTCAGAGCGTCAGAGCGTGGCCATGATATGATATGATATGGGGGAAGAGATTTTCTAACAATGTTATAAAAATTGTGGACCCATTAAAAGATATTTTTTCTACTTTTTTGAATGCAAACACTGAATTTCTAATTATTTTCTATTCATCACTTCTTTCTATCCTGTTTGTTTCTTTAATATTTATGTGTTTACTCGAAGAAAACATTAGCGTGACACCGTAACTGATCCACTCTAATGAAGTTGTGAAAGCCTCTGCATCCATATTTCTTTTTAGGGGAAAAGACGTTGAAAATTGGGGCACGGACTTGATTTGAATGGTCCTTAATGAAATGGAAAGAGATATACTTTTTTCTCTAGAGCTGCCACGCCATCCGTTGGAAAGTAAGTATCACTTTATCAGGATCAAATTAGGCATTATTTTTCAAAATGGAAAAGAAAATGGCAGATGTATTCCAAATTGATCAATATTTTAGCAAAAAAAAAAAACCAATAAAATTAAAGTTAGGATTTGCATACTTGTACTTAATAATAACATGACACTATTACGGTATTAGTTAGTATTACTATTTTATTGTAGACAATAAGAATCAGAATCTGTTAACTTTACACAAAAGGGGTTTGTATCGATTTTTTTATTAATTAATGTCACTGATCACGCCAAAGATTTCAACATCTCAGTATGTTATCTATATTAGTTTCCTGACTCGTCACGACCAGTAAATTCCAAAGTTCAAACAGAAAAATGAACCAATGTACTGTTAAACCAAAGCAGTAAACAAAGCTAAACGAAGAACCAACATTGATTGGTTAAGATAACAGCTATTGTTACTTAACTAAGTCGGAATGAATATTTTGTATTAATATCACGGTTAAAAAAAGATTTAATGTAATTAACGCTTGTACTATGTAACGAGCAAACTTGGATCATAATATTTTGTACAGTAGTGTGTAAAAATGTGGGTGTGTACAGCTAGCATGGTTGAAGAGTGCAGTAACTTCTCTAGAGTTGTTTTAGAAGTACTATGTAACAAGGCACTTGGATCATATGAAACATGTATATGGGTACTATCGAGAGTTGCATAGACAAATACCACGTGCCTCATCCTCATGTACGTGCTCACCTACGAATCATGACACACTAGAAAGAAAGTGAAAACACAAAGAGAAGATAAGGGTCAAGTCAATGAATTGAAGTGAAGTCTTTCTGGTTGTTAGGTGTAGCTGTTTGTTTGTTTTTCCATTCCAACTTCTAAGCACAACGCAATGACCAAGACAACACTGGATTCAGGATGGCTTGCAGCGAGGTCCACGGAGGTCCATTTCAGTGGCGCTCAACTCACCACCACACACCCTCCCTCTGCTCCTACTCAGCCATGGATGGAAGCTATAGTCCCTGGAACGTAATCTCCCTCTCTCACTATATATATATGTGTGTGTGTGTGTTGTGTAGATGTAAAGTAAATTATGAAATGCATTCACGTTATGCTTTCTTTTTTTGTTGCTTTGAGGTTTGATGAATGATGATGCTTCCTTAAATACTTAAAGTGATGTTTAATGATTGACAGTGTTCTCGCCACCTTGGTGAAGAAC